TTCTGATTGTTCTGGTTGGTTCTAACTCCATTTTGCGCGGCAACTCGAAATGCAAAAATTTGTTACCACGAGGAATCGAACTAGGGACCTCCTTTTCTGGTATTCAGAGGGCCGTTCAGGAAAAATTGAACATGGTTCTGTGGTTCCCGCATCTGCCCCTATATCATGCAAAAGACCGTTTTCAAAAAGCTTGTCACGCCCTGAAAGACCTTCCTGGTAGGTTACCCCCCCCCCTTCCTTATATAGCAGTTTCAAGCGTTCACGTATTCCCAGTGAAGAGAAATCCTGACAAAAATTTATCCGAGCTCACAATAAATCGGACTTCGGAGGCTGCCAAAAACTAATGTCGACTCTTCAGAGACACGCCGTCATCCTTTAAAGCTACGGGTCTGGATTAGGTGCCAAGAAGTAGTCTCGAAAAGGGGTCCTCAAGCAGAGGAGGTGCGACGCTGTCGCGAGTCAAAAGTGCGCGGCAACGGGGCTAATGCCTTGCCTAGTGTGCAGCCGTGCTTTCGTGCCCAGTACGTGTGTTGCACTCTCTCTCGCTTACGATGTGCTCTCTCGGGCGTACCATTGCGTCTTCCTCTTTTTTTAGCCTCTCCTCGAACGCTGTGTATCTCTCCGTTTGCACGGGCTTCTCTCGTGTCCTTCTCTTTGCAGCCACTGGCGTCCTCGCGTGTTTTTTCTTCCCTCCATCCCTGACATTTATCATCATTGCAAATTTGCTATGTATCAACTTTTGAAACAAAGAAAAAAAATAAGCAAGATGAACTCTGATGCTGGCTTCTGGCCTTTAAGATATCTATGGATAACTCTTAGCCCTCTGTAAAGTCTTCGAGAGGTATAATCATGGAGTAAATACATTTTCAATAAAAAGTTTTCGATTTCCAGGAAATAATGTTGGGATTTCTGTATTTCCCTTTGCGGTTGAAAATTTCGATTAAATTCTTCCATTGTAGAAGTTCAGCTAGCAATTGCAAACGAATAGTATTGACCAATGGTTATAAGGCTGAACATTTCTCTGAACTCCTTGCTTGGAGGAAGAAACACTTTCATGGGGGCGTTCGCTTCTTCGGCTAGATGCGCCTGCGCTCGTTTTGCTCCTAGTCCTCCAGAAATGCAATTCGGCACTTTTCCGGAGTTTGTTTCTGTTCAAGGTCACAAATGCCACGCACCTTATTGAACATGTTTCCTTCCGTCTTTGAGATCTGCGCGCGCGATTGTTGGGTTCGTTCAATCAATTACCAATTAATGTTGTTTGTTTGGGGGAAGCTAATTTCTCTTCCATTGTCGGTGTAATACCTAATGAAAGTTTGATGGCGTCCTTCTGAGGGAGGAGGGTCTTTAAATGTGCGCAGCACATTTGTGTACGTATTTCTCTACGGGCTAATGCTGGTTAGCAGGAGCAGCAGCCCTAGCTTGACGAAGTCTAGCTGTTCTGGCGTACAAGACGCCAGTATCCGTGCATTTCAGGGCCTGTCTGGTCTGGTTCATCGACAAAAGGCGTAGAAAGGCTTATTCAGTGAACAGTGGGACATTAGGTTCACTTTTTAATGCGGCGTTCACGACAAACTTCATAGTCGTCGGTGCTGAGGTACAAGCTTGAGCGCTCAGTACTTTTCAGTATAGAAGGTGCACAAAATGGAGGTCGATAGGGGGAAGTTTACTTTTTAGAAGAGAGTGCAGGCCCCTAGTGCACTGCATGGTTTCGCGCGTTTTCAGCGAAATGCTACGCCCCTGCGACCTAGTAGGTCTAGTGGCAGCGCTCGCGTCTCACACCGCTCGCAAGCTGGCTATGCCTGTCGTCGGACTCTAAGGCTTGAACTATGTTACCATGCTTATGGCCGAGGGGCATGAGAAAGAGTTCACGTTGATGATCATTGATGAGATTCGCCGCTCAACTCAAGTCTATGGGAGCGAAGCCCTACTTCACGCGCTTTAGACCCTTTTCCCTGTTTTTTTTCCTCCTCCGCATCATTAACCAACTCAACTTTCATTTCCAATTGGCGATAAATTTGCCGTAAAATCCAAATGATGCGGTCAAAAACCGTGGAACCAATTGTCATTTTTAGCCGATGGTTTCCCGTTTATGCCACCGTACGGATCAGAGTTCGTTTGTTGGCATGAAATCAGAGTATGGTCTTATTCCCACCTCCAACCCAACACTGATTATGAGTTTGTAAGAGAAGTTTCGGGGCAAATTTCACCATTTCCCTATAACATCGCCGCAGAACGTCTCTGAGTCACATCGCGGGCAGGGTAGCATCGTGAACGCTGTGCCTTCAAATAAAACATGCTGTCAGGTCCGTGCTAACGTGATCGGGTATTGCTGTGAAAATGAAAATCGGGATCTTAGTAGACGTCAAAGAAAACAGGTCTCGGTTCCAGTTATAATTAAATTTATGCATTTGCAGCTCAGCAGCCATTCTGATGAAGACTGATTGCTGTAGAAACACATTAAATTGAATAATACAGCTGCTCGATTTCGTTATTTACATAGGTCTCTTCTCTTCCGTTTGTGACGTTGCAGGGCGTCTCACTCACGACCTTTATCAATTGAAGGAGCGGTGCTGAAGCACGGACAAGGGAACTGCCTTCTATCAATTTGTCCCTGTGGCTAAAAGAGCATACGTACTGCAGCGGCAAAAGATGTTGTCATACTCGCGAATTGGCATTACCGACCTATAACTTTATACCTCTACGAGACTGGCCGTTCCCAACACGGCAAAAACAGCGCCGTAACATCCCTGATGGCTCTTTAAAGGCAAGCCCTGGGATTAAGCTGGTGCATAAGAGCGCTCCGGTGTGATGACTGAGCTGTGGAATGACCTGGAAATGGAAAAAGGATAAAAAAGGATAAAGCATTTGCCGTTGATCAATCCCTTTTTGGGATGCGGCACGCATTCTACTTCCATTTGTACATTCGTAGTGGCGTTTGAATGCGATGTGGCCTATACAATGACTTGCGGGGCCAGCCGATGTACAAGTCAGTGTTTTTATCCTCCCAGACAAGTCTGGTACCAATTAACCGACCCCGGAGGGATGGAAGGCTTGGTTGGCCCGGGCGACTCACGACCCAGGATTTGATCCCCGGACCGCTCGCGTGGTAAGCGTGCCACTTGCCACTACACCACTTCCGCCCAAAAGGGAAAACGCTCAAACTAAGCCAAACCTTCAGTAAGGTCGGATGTGGTACGATGGCGAGACAGGGCGATCAAAGAAGACAAAACACGCGAGAGAGCACGCCGTTTGAGAGAGCACGCTGATCTCCACATCAATTGCGGTGGGTGGAGAGCGTTGCAACGGGGGTCAGGGACCCCAAATTTTACCTCGAAGTACCTTATTACTAGTCGGGCTTATCCCGCGGCTTGCTTTCAAGGATGGTGATTTCCTGAAGAAATGCAGATATTCCGAACCGCATCTTCCCGAGTGAGTGCGTGAACAGTGTTGAAAATGGAGTTGGAGGGCTACACCATTGTGCTGAGCATCATTAGTGCTACGGATATGTCCGGCGCTAAAGATGAGGGTCCTGGTGTCACGCTTTGCAGTAGATTTTTCATCAGAACGAATTAGTAGTGTCCCACATCCGAGCGAGCGTTCCTAATTCTCGTAACGTGTCAGTGTTGTTCACTTCCTTCTTATTCTTTAGCGTTTGTCCCACCCTGTGGCGGGGTCCGCTTTCCTGGTGTTACGACGCCACTTTTCCCGATTATGTGCCTGATCGGGGTGAAGGCCAACTAATTTCAAATCCTCATGCAACGTATCAAGCCATCGTTGCTTCGGGCGTCCCTCTTGGCCGCTTTCCTGGCACGTTAAAGTCTAGACCGATCTTACGGACACTCTCATCATTAGCGCGAAGGACGTGACCGTACCACCTCAGGCGAGCTTCGCGCATCTTATCAGCGATGGGAGCCACACCGAACCGCTTTCTGATGGTATCGTTGCGAATGTGGTCTAAACGGGTAACCCCGGCAGTCCAGCGCAGCATTTTTGTCTCCATTTACACTGAGACGAGCCTCAACCTCTTTAGTCACGGGCCAGCACTCTGCTCCGTAAATGGCGACTGGTCGGACGACGGTTCTGTAGATCTTAGATTTCAGTCGCTCTGGTATTTTCTTATCGCAGAGAACGCCGGTCATCGAGCGCCACTTGGACCAAGCTGCACTCACCCGGGAGTTTACTTCAGAGATCAGGCTGCCGTCGGACGCGATTGCCGACCCAAGATACTTGAACGATGTTGTACGTGTGAGCTCAGTGCCACTGATCTTAATTGTGCCTGACTCACTCAAATCGGTGGTCAAGTACTCTGTCTTCTTCACATTCAACCTGAGCCCAAACATAGCGGTGGTCTGTTCACAATGGAGCTTTTCCCTTGCTCTTTTCCCCTTCCACCCCTCCTCCTCGCCCTTAGGTGTAGGCAATCCAGCCCTAGGCACAGGATCGCTTTTCCGCTCCATTCGAGGCTGAATCAGCCTTTCCTTATCGAAAACTTGCTTTAAGTGAGGGTGTGAAAGCTTTCTTCCATAGAAACTATGAACGGCTCACCTTTATTCGATCTTTTGCATTGGAAAGGCAGAGCACAATTGAATGGCTGCCATTAACTTCATTCTCACCGTTGGCAGTCATACCCCGGGAACCTTTCGCCATGAACTTCACCCTATCTACAAAACGGCCTTTTGTTTATGAATCATTCGTTTTTTTTTTTTGGGTGCTTTTTTGGAAACCATAAGAGCTGCAAAATGCTCTATGAGAAATTCCAGAGCAGCAGACGGTACGTTGTGTGAACAGAGACGACTCTCCGCTTTGCTGGCGCATGCTAGGGAGTAATTGGGGCCGCTTTCGCGTCCACCGAATTGTTTGTTAGTACGAAATCCAAAAGATATGATTCCAAAAGCAAATTCACACAAAAACGGACTCTAGTTGAAAAGGAACCCGAAAAAATAGGCTTAACCATCGACCGTGTAACGTATTATCGTTAGTATTATACTATCTCTTTTTAGGTTAGGAAATTGCGCAGACGGGAGCGTGGCGCTGCATCGAATGCCTACAGGTGTTCATCATCAATTGGTAACTGTCCCATACCGAGTTTGGAGGTTTGTCCTCCCACATACTACAGGTACGGTAGTTTTAATCTTGTTTTGAGCTCGCTCAGAATTTCTCGGTCCATTTACCATCAGTGACGACCTTGTTTCTGGAACTTTACATTTTCTGGTATTTTATAGTGAATATCATGGATAGTTTCAGGTCGTACTCTGGTCTTTGTAACAATGTAGCACAACCGGAATGGGGTACAAGTCACACAGCACTTTCCCGAATACTGAAACCTGTTTATGCCGACGGTTTGTGAGCAACAGTTAGATTCTTAGAAATCGCCAAAGCATTAAAAAGAAGAACGTGTACTCAGAGATTAACAAAAAGGACAAAAATAATGGAGCTGAATGGAAAAGATCACACTGAAGTGAAACTGTGGAGAGTATCGTCGACGGGTTTTAAAACGGAGGGTGTTCCATGCTCACCTCTTTTTTGTCCCCTCATAGTCATCCCCTCTATAATAACTCGCTATAGTAAATTAGAAGGCTGATACCGGCTCCTAAACTTCCGAAATAGTCTCCTGTCACTATTTCAACGTGGCCAAGATATTCGCAATAGAATATCTAACCACTATAGTGGAAAATTTATGTGGGCGACTGTAGTCTGTTCGAGAGTTGGGCTTTTATGAGCTGAGATAAACTACCACAGCATTCGGAGACCGGTCATCAGAATCCCCGTAGCGGATAGAAGGCATCCTGAGTATCAAGCCTAGGCAAGTGGTACCGTTACGAACAAAAAACGGTTAAGTAAAGAAAACGAGACGATCAGATAGGATGTGAGGAAAAGAAGCGAAGGAAAGTGGACTCATGGTAAATAGATGTAGACGCTATCACAAGATACGGGGGCAACCTCTAGGAATTAACTTAGGAAAGGGCAGGACTTTGAGAAAAACGCAAATTGCTCATTCACGCTAGAGCCTCTATCTACTATCCCGCTATGGGCTTATCGTTAGTCACGTTTGAAAAAAGGTTTTGTTTCACGTGCTTTGAATACTAGTACCATAATGCCCCCATTTCTTGCTATAGCGCTTGCATGGATGTAAAATCAGGAACCTGAAGTGGTAGCACAAGGATGTGCAGCGTTAATGAATTAAAAAAAATAAGAAGGGCAAGGCAGAGGGAGGTTTCGCATAAGAATGAAAGTATAAAAGGACGATCGAGCGAAAAGAAAATAAAAACTGAGCTTAGTTACACCATTTGCCTAATTAGTGTTTCCTTATAGTTAGGGAGGCTCAGAAAGCGGTTTTTCAGGCGTTTCATCTCCTCGCGAAGCTGTCAGTGGTCAGCCACTTGCCGCCAGTACGCGGCCTATCGCTTACCCTATTCAGCCCACTGTCCACAGTGAGTATTTTATTATCAGCGTAATTTCTTGATTTCCCTCACAAAGGATTTCATGGGGAAAAGCCAAATTGGGAGGAAAACTTAGGAGTCGTTGCTTAAATTCTGTTATTAAGAGCCATCCCACCGTGACGTCGCTGTTTCCGCACTGGATGCAGTTCATCTCTTCTGACATGCTGAATATGGTGGAGACGCAAGCGTTGATTGACGGTGAGGAGTCTTCGGTCTGTTTACAAGCTAGTATTTACACTCGAGCATACCCGTAGTACTCACGAGGTACTGGTCGCTAAGCCGAAACCCAAGATCGTGAGACGCTGGATACAGTCTTGAATCCTGACTCATTGCTGGTGGGCAGGCAGGTCTAGGCGGTGGTGAGATCACCTACGAATGAGGGGTACACTGAGCGCTGCGTGGCCCTGCAAACAGATTTGCAATGCGCAAATGCGACCTCAAAACAAACAGATTTGCAATGCGCAATTGCGACCTCAAAACAAACTAGGGGTTGCTCTCACAAGCAAAGGCTCCTAGGTCGCTATGGCCTTCCAAGAAGAGATGCTTTCAAATTTCACTGAATGGAGTCATGAAGCAAAACAGCGCAGTGATAGTGGTTGGGACTCAGAGTTAAAACGTCGTAGGATCGGCCTCTTATCGAGTTTAGTTCTTTCCATTCTTTACGAGCGCAGCTAAACGGCTTTTGATAGCCTTTTAAAGTGAATTTCTGACGAATTCAAAGCAGTAATTACGATAGGGGATCGATCTTACGACATTTTGACTGTGAGTCTCGACGGCAGCCGTTGCACTGTTTTGCTCCATAACTCTGTTCAGAAAATCGTTTAGCACATTTGGAAGGTAGATTTGAGATCAGCGTTCGAAGGAATACACCTCTTTCTGAATGGCGTTCTGGGAGCCTTTCCTTGTCAGGTGTTGCCAGAGAACGGTTTTAAACAGTGACGCTTGACAGTTTTAGCTGGAGATAATGGTATATGTCATTACGTTGCTAACATCCACGTTTTGAGGCCGCGTACGTCCATTTCCATGTTGTCGTCAAGGTTTCTCGCATCCAGAGTGCGACCACTCTAATTCGATATTCCCACAGGAGATACTGGGCGTTCCAGGATATGATTGAAATGAATTTAGATCTTGAAGCCGTGTGTGCCATATGCCTGTATTTTCTCTGCACTCCTACGTTGCGGGTAGACAAGTAGTGAATGTTTTGTTGAAAATTCTTTTTAGTGGAAGGGAACATCCACAATCTGCTTTTAAACCGTTCACTGAGAAAGCGCCTCCGTGCCGATGTCTTTAGTTGTATATTGATCAGGCGGACCAGTACATAGAAAGGTGGAAAGTTCAAAAATTACCTGCTCCTTCAGGTGTTTGTTAAGTCCATGAAGGTCATCTCACTAAAGCAAAAGTACATTCAAAAGAAAAAGATCACTGCAGACGTTTTTCGCCACAGCTCATGTGAAACTTGATACTTTTGGACGATTTTCTAGTATATTGAGAATCAGTACTACTAAAAAATGGTATCTCAGCTAAACTCTCTTTTCCGAACGTACATAGCTTTCACCCTATACTACACATTCTAGCGAACACTGAATACTTGCATTTCGTGATTTTACAAGAAAAAAGTCGAATCTCCTTGGGGAAATTGAGTCTTCCCCTCTCTTGGCCTGGAAATGTTGATGAATCATCAAGCCAGAAACCAGCCAAATATCAAAGTTTGACGCGAGCGGCATCTGGCGCCTGCGGTTGCTTTTTTCGAAAAAACTGTATTTACCTCATCGTGTTCCCACAAAATCAACTACTGCCTCGCTCGATGCGTTCTTTATCACTCGAAACATCCATAATTAAAACACACGAGCGAGTACTTGGTGTGTCTCCCATCCTGGTCAACCGCCGCATACAAATCAAAGCAGTCGCATTTCAAAAATTTTGCGACTCCCCCTTCAAGGGGCCCCCCACACCCGCTATGTCCGTCAGTGCTTAGGAGACCCGCTCGCAAGTATGACTGTCTCCTCTCTCCAGCAATCACCAGTTTTTGCCGATTTACGCACTCTTATTCATGAAAAAGTCCACCAAACCTCGTTGAATATACCGTCAAATACACCTCTTTACGACCTCTAAATGCGACCCCCTCTTCCCGAATCAAGAATGCGGTCGAATCGTTCGAACGGACGGTTGATCTTGCTCCATCTGGCTGAGAATTGTGCGAAGGAACACAGTTGCTATCGAGAGGCGAGCGCTACAGATTCTTAAAATGGTCCTGACGGGGGGTGCTTTTAGCCCTCGGCTTCTTTTCTATGGTCCTATTTTTTATATGGGTCCTATCATACTCTCGTTTCTTCACTTGAAAAAAAGAGACGGTGGAGGGAACCTCAGTCACAAAATTCAAATGATAGCAAGAGGCCCGCTGCTCTCGCTCACAGACCAACTTTTTATGAGAGCTTGCACGGCAATTACACAGTCATGGTGACGTCAGCCGCTTACATGGGACTTTCAAATGTTCCTTCATATCATCACCTTACGTCCTCTGCGTTTGATAGCAACAGCTATGGACGTTCTGCACAACTCTATGTACTAACAACACACCGAGCGCAGTTTGAAGGGTTGATAAAGATGAGCAGTAATAGTGGTTTTTTCGATGGTAATACCTATGTTAGAGAGTCGCCGTGACGTGCCTTCCCTCGACACTCGTACGCTGGTCGCTACCACAGCATGTATGTTGCGGTGGACGCGTCGGGGTCCACGGAGAACAAGGGGGCCGAAGCCTGAAGCGGATCAATGTCATACCTGACGGTAGCGTCATCTAATGGTTCCAGTCCCGAACGGGCCAAGCAGATGCGCAGCTTCTCACAAGGTTAGCTGTCTCAGAATTTTGGCAGCCATTATCGAAGGCTCCCCGTATTTCTGAGAAGTTTTCTCACCGGATTTCTTTGCAGGTCTACTTCGAACATACTCCAGCGCCGGTGAACTTCCTCAAGTCGATTCGACCATCAAATGTCAGATTGAAGGACGGTATGGCCATACAGATTCCTAGTTTCCTGCTGTTTATAGAACTCCTGTTGATAAATTGGGTTCATTTTCCAGATGCATGCTATCTGGTTCTGATGACGCCAATATTCTACCTGGCGTAACCGCTTTGCACGCTGTCTTCATTAAGCAACACAATCGAATCGCTCGGCTGCTGAAGGTGAGAAATCTACAAAAAATACTCAAAACGAACTGTTGACGCCAAACAAGTTGCAGTTGCTCCCTACTGGTGGCCAGAGCTATCGAAAGGCAAGCCGTAGGCGTTCTTTGAGGGATTATTACCTCCCATCTCTAGAGATTCAAAAATTTAAAAACAAGTACAGCCGAGCAGAATGCGTCAGCGAATGCGAGAGTGAACAACAGCTCACAGTGATTAGAACAATCGTAAAAGTCTATCACAAAAGCCGAGATGTGCACTTGCTTACCAATTTCCTTCTGTGGTACAGTGCCACACATTTGTTCCATGAGGGGAACTTCGCCCAAGCACTTACTTTGGACTTGCAACAGTCACAGTCAAGGAACAGAGGAGCATACCAGTTTCTCAAATTCAATTTCCAAGGAACAAAATCGTCACTGGCCAGACTCGCGACTTTTCGAGGAGGCTCGACGTGTGGTCAGTGCCCAACTGCAGCACATCACCTACAACGAGTTCCTACCGATTATGCTCGGACGAGAAAATATCAAGTTAGTCGTGATTTTTTCATGGCCTTGAAGGCAGATCACCACCCTTAGAGCGGCTATCTCATCTCATATCGGTTCCTCACCACGCTATCCCCTCCTAGTTCTATTCGTAGGCTCCCACGCTCAATCTTTCAGTGTTCGAAGCGGTGTGCTGTCCGCGATTTATCTGCGCTCCAACCTCAACCGCACTAAAAATTTTCATTGGAGTTCAGGCGAGGCAACACCGTGATAGGACCCAGGCCAGGGATGGCGCTCGGCCAGGATGCGTCCTTAGCCTAAAGAGAGCATACGTTCCTTAGCGGAGTTCCAAAAGAAACTGTTTGGACGGGTGGCTCGTCTAATTGTGGGGTTTTAGGGTTAGGAGCATCATCGCGCATGTTTTGGGTGGGTTCTCTGGTCTAGACACTGACACCTTTACCACCTCTAACTCAATATCCAGAGAGATGACCAATTTTTCGTATCAGACGATTTCGAATGGAAAGCCTCGACGCTGCACCTGAATTTTGGAAAGCTGTCTATGTGAAGTTCCACATAATTAGCCAAGATGCCAGTACTCGATTTCGAAGAAGGTTGTAAAAGCGATCAACAATTGGAGAGTAACTCATATTAGAAGCAGGGAATAAGTACCTCTATTCACTAGTCTCAGCGCTAAGCAAACTGGCTTCTGTCAACACAGTTTCGAATTCCTTCTATCTCATTACACTTTAGTTATCATATGCAACAATCTTCAGGAAATACGGTCTATCACTTCATGAATCCGGCTTTGACATCCGACTACGATATGACCATCGACGGAGCAGTTCTGAATGAGTTCGCCGTCACTTTTCCATACGTTCTTTGGTCCTTGCTACCAAAGATCAATTATTCTATCAGTTCAACAACCCAAGCAAGCTATACGAAGTGCGCGGTGTGGAGTCGATCTTGAGGTGAGGAATTTTCACCTTTAAAGAATTCGCGACCAGTCCCTTTGAACTGAACAATACTTTTCATAGACATCTACTTTCGACTACCATCGCTAAACCGGCGTTGAGAGTGAACGACGAGGTAAAGGATGAGTTCCTGAAAGACCAGTATCTGCTCGGCTTAGATTTGATAGCGATCGCCTTGAAACGGGGACGAGATCACGGCGTTCCTGGCTACACAGCCGTCCGTGCCCAGTGCGGTCTAGGAAAGGTAAGCATCTTCTTTAGACTGTTTCGGGAAGCTTCCACAAGCTATCAAGGTAGTGTGTAGGTTTTTAACTCATGTTTTGCTCACCTGCCGAGTAGCCCATTATAGTATTCAAATTCACCTGTGCTCTGGTGGGAGGATAAGGGGACTCCCTCATAAACTCGCCCAAATTCGCAATCGCGACACAAGCCCAACACAACTACACTCCGAGATAGCTTCGCGCACTCCCCTCGCCCCACCCTCTCCCCCTCTGTGTTGGATTTTTTCAACTCCTTCCTGCGCTATCTCAAGCACTTTGGCATTTTAATGGCAGTGCATTTAAAACTGCGTGAAATTGTTGCCTTCTTGCGTAAAAAAGGGGCTAAACCTAAGGCGCGTTAAGGGAGACTCCAGGGTGCTTCAAGGCAGCGATTACGATAATTCAAGAAGGGTTTAGAGGAGACGTGGTGGTGCTCAATGGTACGCCAGTGGCGAAAAAAGCGGAGAAATCCGTCAAAATGGGACCCCCTTTTTTGGCCGTTGGTTTTCACTCATGAACAGGTAACAGCTCAGAAAGCGGACGTATGAACGAGTTCAGCAACGCGTTTGGTGACACCATGCCAAACCACGCTCCAATCGAGTTGCTCCAGTTGTGCCGCTGCTGGCAACGCAGCTCGTCCAAATCACCAACTAAACTAGTGGGCGGATCGCTTTTGGGGGCGGAGTGCTTTCGAAGTCCTGCTCAGCAACCAGCGCACCTTTCGTCGTGAAAGCGCTACACCTCGCTTCCTGGCAGCCAAGTAACTGATTCGTGTGGTGCATATGCTTCCCCGATGCGCTCCCCTTTATCGTAATCGCTGCCTTTAAGTCACTGTTGCTTTTCCGGAGTTCTGCCCCCCTTAGGCTTAGTTCGTTGGGATACCCCCATATATTGCGATAGCGCCCCCTCTCCCAACATTTCTTTCATAAATTCATACGCCTTCTTCGCAACAGTTAAGAGCAATCGCGGAAAATTCGATAGCAATGCTGTGTTTTGAATTCGTCTATTTCCATTATTCACTGAGCAATTCAATATCAATAGGTTAGGCTTTTTCTACGACTATGATGCTGTTTTGCAGGTGCGATCATTCCATGAACTGAAGGAGTATTTCATAGACGACCCCAAGGTGGAGTACATCAACACTATCTACGAGAACGTGGATGACATCGATTTGTTGGTAGGCGTGCTAGCAGAACAACCAATCAAAGGTGCTCTGTTCGGTCCCACCATGGCATGCATCACGGGAAGCAGTTCCAACGGGTAAGCTGACTCAGGCACATTGCTGTGGAAGGTTGCAATCCAGACAGGCTGATTGCAGACACGACGAGGTGATCGATTCTGGTATGAGAACTATTTCGCACAGTCGGGCTTCAACGAGAAACAACTGATGGAATTGCGAAAGACGACGTTGGCCGAAATTATCTGCTCGAACACGGAAATGCAGAAGATTCAAAGCAATGTGTTCATGCGTGAAAACGTTTTCGAGTTAGCGATTGCTTTTCAAACATTTTTTCTTTGATTATCAAGTCATTTTCGGTAAATCTCACCTCCATACAAATCCAAATCTTTAACACCTTTTTGCAGTGGTGTGGGGTGGGGGGGGGGGGGGGGGGGGGGGGGGGGGGGGGGGGGGGGGGGGGGGGGGGGGGGGGGGGTTGGGCTACGTGCTTGCTTTACCCTGAAAAACGCTCGGAGGAAATCATACAGTAGCGGCTCGTATCAAGTCAATGCGAGCCTTCCATCTCTCCGGGGTTGGTTAATCGTTACCAGAGCTGCCTGGATAGACAAAAACACTAACTTTGCATCGGTCTCCCCTCGCAGCTCACTATAAAGGCCAATCGGCATCTAAGTGCCTCGTGTACATCTATGTACAAATGGAAGTAGAATGCGTGCCGCTCCCCAAAAGGGGAATGATCAACGGCTAATGCTTTATTATTTTTTATCCTTTTGCGCCTCTCTGTGATTCTCGGAAAACCCAATGCCGTTCCCTTCAGTCGCATCCTCGGTGTGCTCTGGCAAACTTCCTTGGAGGTACAAGTCACGATTAGATCCTTAGAGAAATTCTCACCTTGAATGTGGTTACAGTATACACTTCGTTCGTAATGTGGTTACAGTAGTCTTAACCACATGGGTGGTGGTACTGTCATGACTCAAAAAAGCGCAACAAAGGAGCTTATCTTCTGCTTGACCGCTGCGCCCGGTGCCATTATGTCGCAACATGCGCAGCGTCAACGCCCTCTCGCGAACGGCATTTCTCTTGCGCTTTCCCTCACCTCGCAGCGTGTGTCTCTCCATCACCACGGTCATCCCCAGATGAAAAAATTTCAGTGTTTCATTCGGTGAATTTGCTTTTTCATCCACTTGCATTCTTCCTTTCCACCAACTCTACCCGACCTGCTTCCGCGACCCGTGCCTTTGAGTCCAGGGATCAGATGGCTGAGGGCCTTGCTGTTGTGATGACGTCATTAAACTTTATTGGTGAGGGCGTTAAGGCAATCTCAACCACACCTTCTATGCGCCAAAGGGTCACCGATGACGTTCATTGACGTCGACAAAACCGCACCACCTTCATAGCATCGTAATCACTGCCTTGAACTTGTGGGTATGTGAAGATGGACTGTCGTGCATTTAGCAATCCACCCTTGGAAGGGCGGTGTTCTACATCACAATGTCTCTGTCCCATTGTTTTCATTGATGGGTATGCTTTGAAATATCCAGTCGAAGGTTGCCAACACCGACTGAAACACGCCAAACACATCCGTTCTTCAATTCAGAAAATATTATAGCTTCTCTCATTTTTAGAAATATGGCCATCGAATGCCGTTCATCTGTATTCGCAACGCCATCGATGGCTGAATGGAAAGATTTGGAAGGACGTCCCACTCCTTCCAGTTTCAGCAGAAACTTTGGAGAAGGTAGTTGCCTTAGTCGAATAGTCTTTAGTGCATAATGAAAGTATTCTCCGGTCAATCAAATGATGCTACCTGTCCTTACCTAAACAAGGAGCCATAGCACATACTGCACTACTGATATCAGCTGTCATGGGCTTAACAGCTGATTGTGAGTCGGGTGTGTCGTACTAGAAAAGGTACTGCGAGTCATACGCTCACCTCCTAAGCAGACAGTTTGAGTGTTTGCTTAATCAGGCGTCCAGAGGCAGGTGCTCAACGAAAGGAAATGTGCCTACGGTTGGAGGATGCTGCACCCAAAAGGGAGCAAAACGTGGCGTTCATACGACGAAGCCTGTAATTGCAGCAACGAAATAAGGCTTCACCCTACTCTCTGGAGGCTGTTGTGCCTTTACCCGCAATCGACGGTTGCTGCTCCCAAACCATGGAACTATTGAACTGGTCGTATAGCGTGGATTTTGAACGGAAAATTCAATGGTTAAATTTGCGGGTTTTTGAGCGTTACTGTGGTTTTTCTGTGCTTCAAAGCGTTTACCACTCCTACTTTCATTGCTGGGAGCAACCAGTCTATTGCAGCTTTCGAATCTAAGCTGCTGATGTTTGTACACACCAACACAGCTTTTGGAGTGTTCCTTGATTTTTTGTTCCAACAAAGGTTGAATTTGACCGTATCGAGACAAACAGTTC